CGATGAAGGTGATTGGGCGGACTCATCCTGAGTTTTCGATTGGCTTCGATGAACTGATCGAGAGTAAAGGAATTCCAAAGGGTTTCCCCTCTAAGGATTGTCTTGAAGAAATTGACGAATTCCTCAGTTGGGAGAATTGGAGCAATGAAGGCTGCAAAAACAAAACAACAAGTTTGATTAGCGAAATAATAGGATGATTGGGAAAGTATCTGTGACCTATTTTCTACCAGGCTTTGCGGACCACTTCGATGGAAGTACATCGGAAAGACTTCCAATCGAAGCGGGAGTTTTCTTAATCAAAAACCAAGGATGGTGCCAGCTTTCATCCTTGTTCGGGAGATGCGAAATGATGTTCCTATTAGCATTCGGGTACGCCGAAAAGTACCCCGCCTTCTTCGATGAACTTCTCACACTTAGAAGTTCATTCAGCTCGGGAACCCCAATAATGTAGCCAGCTTCTGCCGCAACGGTTATGATTCCAAGGATGGTTCGGAGGAGATTGGGGGTTAGCTGAGGCAAAGCGATCTCAAGGGCCGCTAGGTACCGAACTAGGGCTTCGGGAAGAGGGAAGGTCAATCCACAGCCCTTGAAGTAGATTTCGTAAACACAGAAGTAGCCGTCGCGGTGGTTCTCCGGAGATTCCGTAGGATCGGCTATTCGAGATTATGCTATAATTCCAGGGGGAATCTGGCACAGCCCCTTTAATCTTTCTAGGGATTGAAGAGTACAGGTGGATCTATAATGCGGACCAGCGATATCGTTAGGACGAGTGCATTCGTCGTTGCTAGGACGTCTCTCGTCGTAAGACGGAGACTCGGGTCTGTCGGAATCAGAAGTCATCGGGAATGGAAAATTCAAGTTTCAAGGAGAAGAAAACTCGGCGAAGGAGACAGAGAAACTTAGCAAGAAAAGCAAAGAAATTTTTTATCAAAAGATGAGAGTGAAAAAGAGGTTACCTCACGCAAAGCTAAGTGGTAATGATGGAACCGCCTCGGAAGACGTGGAGGAAGTGGAAAGGTTTTCCCCGTTTTAATAGTAAATAATTAAGAGACGGTCGTGATGGTGACAGATGTCACGCGATCAAATATGGGAAACGACGAAATTAAAGGACTGACAAGATCTTGGCGGGAAAATCAGAAGATCCCTCAAGCGCAATCTTTGGTCATTAAAGCATTAAAATCCTCCGAACTGGAATAAGCACTTCGAAGGATTTGGGGGGCTAATTGTTGGTGTCGGATCCCGCACCAGTAGACCGGGACCAACCAAAGATTGCCATGTAATCAGGATAAGGGCCCACAGAGGATAAGGCCCATTAGGCCCATGGTTTACAGGGTATAATCGAAGTGGGCGTCACCATAAAGAGAGCCCGGAGTGTTCACACCTCGGGATATGACTCGGAGTCGAAGTCGGATGACTTGGGCCAAAAGGCGAAGCCCATGAAGATCGGAATCAATTCAAATTCAAACGTTGGGCATTAAAACTCGAAGACCAAAACGGACACATTTAAGAGAGAATAATTGTGTTTAATTGGGAGTTAAATGTCGTTGGTCAATATAAATAAGAGGGCTAATAGCTATGTAGAGGAGAGGCAATTTTTCTAGCAAATACACTATAGTCATTCCTATTGCAATTCATAGCTTTTTCATCATATTTTTGTCCTCAAGAATAATCATTCCCACTAATTAAACAAATATTCAAGTGTGCGAATCCGACATCCACAGATGAGGCGAATGAATTGTTATATATAAAGAGAAAAGTTAGGGCTTTTCTTTTCATTAAAACAAAACGATTTTGTTTATGTTTGTTTATTGAATAACGACTTCGTTTTTTTCTTCATATTTTGAAAGAAAAAAAAAAGACTACATAAGAGGATCGATATATAAATATATATATATATACCCAAACGTAACAATCGTTATAGAGCCTGATTGGTAACGGCTGTGACTTTACATTTTTTGCTGTAGAATTTAGGCTGTTGACTTTTTAGCTGTAGCTGTATGATTTTGGCTGTAACTTTTAAAAATGAAAGCATGATTGGTAAAAATGTTTACTGTATGCTGTAGGTTAATATTATTATAATTTATATTGAAACTAGAATAATATTAATAAATAAATAAAATGTTTTATGAAAAATTCCATGAATTTAAAATTTAGACTATTAAAAATATATACTATAATAACTATAATATATGTAATTGCAAAAAAGAAAATTCGGTAATAGTTTGAAAATTAAAATGTACACAAATTATATAAAACTAACATCTGTCACAAACATAAGAATATATATATATATATATATATTATATTTACATGTTGAGATGTGCTATATATATCCTTTTAATAGTTATATATATATATATATATATATATATATATATATATATATATATATCTTATGAATTATGTAGTTATATTTTTTTGTTAAAAAGTGTATCCATATTTTTGTCATCAAAATATTTTATTGACATATCGATATCCTATATATCATACATATATTTAATATATGGAGAGAGAAAAAGTAAAGACTTATTTTAGGTGCTGTAGAAAATTTTCTTCGTACAGCCACTTTTTTCTATTTTTTTGTGTTTTGGCTGTGAGTATTAGAAAATGAAAGAAAGCTTGATTGGTGTAAGTAATTGGTTGTAGACAAAATTTTGGCTGTCCACAGACTCTACAGCCACAAACAATCAAGCCCATAGACACTCAAATGAAGCATAAATAGAAGCATTACGGCATTACCACTGAAACTTATCTGACTGAGAGAAACTGGAGAGAAAAAGTAAACTAGGTTTTTTTATAAGACGTTGTTTTTATTACATCACAAAATTAACATCTCAAAATAACAAAAAATAGTACACTAAAAACTAAAGATAGTACACTAAAAAATAGCATTACGGCATTACCACTGAAACTTTTATATATTAGATTAGGTATCCAATTATTATTAGATTGCATACCCTTTTCTGTTTAATTACTAGATTCTTAAGTTAGCATAATTAAGGAAAATATTATGAAGATTCATGAATTCACACAATTTTTTAATTTTATAAAAAAAAACACTTGCTCTAAATCCATGTTTTGAATATACTTATATTAGCTTAACTGTGGAAAACTGTAAAATGATTATCTTTCCTTAATTTCAGATTTTTCACTATTCTTTTTTTAAACATCAAATTATTCTTTTTTTCTGGTCAACTGAAGAAAAACGAAACTTACTTTTTCTGTGTTACATATTCTTAAATAAGTGTAATTATAAATAAATAAATGTGAAAGTTCATGAACTTTTTTCTTAAAATTTATTAGCATTGACTAGAGTGGTCGAAGACTTTTATATATTAGATATCTAATTACTAGATTGCATATCTTTAATTTTAACTTTAATTACTAAATTTTTTAAGTTCATGAATTAAAATTATTTTAAATACTTTTGTCTTAAGCAATGTTTTTAGAGCCAATTGAGACTCGCAGGCGAACCATTAAATTAAGTGATCCGGTCACTAATCCGGTTTAGATCTATTGCTGAAGTGTGATAATTATAAATCTAGAAAACCTGATAAAAACCAAACTAACCTTGCAAATTTACTAGTTGAACTAGTTATGTTTGAAAATATGAATTAAATTTTCTTCACTTTCTTCTAATTGTATATTATATATTGAATAAATTATGTTATTTGTAATTGTTTAGATTTTGATGAAGATTTCACTATATTGTTGCTCCAAGAAAATAAGTAAAATGGTAATAAAAATAACCAGTATTGATTTTTGTGATGCATTATTAATTTATTTTTTCTATGTCGATTTTATCTTTTAGTGTTTATTTTTCATGACTGTCCATGCTACCTGGCCATCTTTTAGTTGAGCCAAACTAAGATAAAGTTTTGCTTCAGTGATTGGACCATAGAAGAATATGACTGAGGCCCATAATCAACACATAATAATAGGCCAACCGTATTAGTGTAAGGTTGTATTTTCATAAGAGACATTATTTTTTTTTGTTTTTTTTAAATGTAAAATTTATTCAACTAATATATGCATTCTTAAACCCATAATTGTTTCAAAAGAAATTCAAAGATAATTGTTTGGAAGAGGTTAACCCCTTGAGCCGACCCAAATATGTAAACCGTCTTCGAATTTGCGTGGGATTAGGTGCTAATCGATGAGAGTTTGCTTCGTATTAACCGATCCAAAAACTTAATTATTTGTTCTTGTGTACTCGGGAGTTCACCATGTCTACGTCTGTTGCGTTCGAACCAAATGGAATGCACAGTCGGAGGATGTAGCATGTTGTACATTTAAAAGCTGAGTCGGTTAATAGTGATAGAATCTCTGAGAAGCTATTGGTATAACGTGTCTGAAAAAGTGTACGAGAGAGTGCCTCCCAAACCTATGAAGAAAAACTGCAAGCAAAGAATAGATGCTCGCAAGTCTCCATTGGATCTTGACAAAAAACACATGATGAATTGACTCTCCTGTTCCAAGTAGACATCCGATCACCAGTCGTAAGCCTATTCTTCACAGCGAGCCAAAGTAGAAATTAAATTGCACCAGTTTTCCCAACAAACCCACGCAAATTAAAATTAATACAATGTCATTATGTATTTATGTCCTTTGAAATTAGTTTACGTAAGTTTTTAATTCGTTGGTTAGTATACATGAATTTAAAAGAAATCTAACTTCGTGTAAGTATTTTTTCACGTTTGGTTTCGTACCCAATTTAACCTTTTTACCATCATTGTAAGCATATTTGTTAATTAGTTTCGACATAACGTTGACATTAAGCTAGTTAGCCGTTTGATCGACAAAATCATAAAATATGACTGCAAATAGTCAAGCAAAACTTCCCACGTGATTACATGAACAACTTGCTATACAAATTGTGATAGATCTATTTATTTTATATTCTACTTGTTGATGATATAATTTCTTATACACTTTTACCTTAATTTAATCCATTAGAAAAGCTTAACATGCCATATACATCGTGAAGCGACGACTTCAATAAATACCAGTCTAGTTTCTTATTGTCAAGCTCTTCTCATCTACTTACTCGACATGGCTATCTCTAAAATAACCCTTGGAATCATCGTTTTACTTCTCGGGCTCATTGATAAGTTATCTGCCGTATCGAATAGTTGTAATTTTCCGGCAGTTTTTAACTTTGGAGATTCAAATTCTGACACCGGAGCTATCTCTGCAGCCATTGGAGAAGTTCCTCCACCAAATGGAGTTGCCTTTTTTGGAAGATCCGCCGGACGACATTCCGATGGGCGCCTCATTATAGATTTCATTAGTAAGTACAATCTTGATTTTCAATTTTCAACTAACTATGTCCATCATTAATTTAAGGGTAATTCAAATTGTTGCCAATTTGTTAACATTTAGCTTAGTATAGTTCAAAACACATTTTCTTCTGGTTATTGAATCGATTTTGACGATATATTTGTTATGATTTTCGGCAGCTGAAAATCTCACTTTGCCGTATTTAACACCGTACTTGGACTCGGTTGGAGCTAATTACCGGCATGGTGCTAATTTTGCGACTGGCGGTTCTTGCATCCGCCCCACGCTTACTTGTTTTAGCCAATTCCATCTTGGGACTCAAGTGTCCCAATTCATTCACTTTAAGACTCGTACCTTGTCTCTCTACAACCAAACCAACGGTAAGTTCGACCAGTTGTTAAGTCATACAAATTACCAAACCAGAGTTTAAAAATTTAACCTGTCTTATACATGTTCTTTTATATATGAAAACTTTGTTGATATTCGTTTTTTGCCTTAGGAAAAACTCCTTTCTGCAAAGGAGTCCTTGCACGGCCCAAAGATTTCTCAAAAGCTCTTTATACATTGGATATCGGCCAGAACGATCTCGCGATTGGGTTCCAAAACATGACAGAGGAACAACTCAAAGCAACTATACCCGCAATCATCGAAAACTTCACCATTGCCTTAAAAGTAAGCATTTAAGTTATTGTCACGTTTATCGGAGAGTTCGATAGAAATTAATCTCTAACAATGCTTTACGATATACTTTGTTTATTTCCTTAGTTGTTGTACAAAGAAGGAGCAAGATTCTTCTCAATTCATAACACCGGACCGACAGGCTGTCTACCGTATCTTTTGAAAGCTTTTCCCGCTACATCGCGAGATGGCTACGGTTGTTTGAAGCCTCTGAACAATGTGGCAATTGAGTTCAACAAACAACTCAAGAACAAAATCAATGAACTAAAGAAAGAGTTACCTTCTTCTTTCTTTACTTATGTTAATGTCTACTCAGCCAAATACAACTTGATCACCAAAGCAAAGACTCTCGGTATGCACTAAACTAATTAACCCGAAATTTCATAATTTTCCGATTTTCTTGGTTCCGGTTAGACTTAAGCCGTCTCATTGACTTCCGGTTTTATCAAATCTAATGCAGGTTTTGCTGATCCTTTTGACTATTGTTGCGTTGGGGCGATCGGACGTGGAATGGGATGTGGGAAGACAATATTTCCAAATGGGACAGAACTCTATAGTTCTTCCTGCCAAAACCGTAAAAATTTCATAAGTTGGGATGGCATACATTACACCGAAACCGCGAATATGCTAGTCGCAAACCGCATCCTCGATGGGTCGATATCCGATCCATCTCTCCCAACCCAAAAAGCTTGTAAACTGACGAAAAACTGAGTTGCCAAGCTATGAATTAATAAATGTAACTAGCATATTTCTGGTGCTTTCCAATAATTAACCAAAATTCTATTCACATCTCATCTTATTATATAAAAGACCCAATCAAATAATCAGTAACTTGTTTGGTAACAAATTTAAAACCGGATCGTTCATATTATCGTTCGCTTGGTGACAACTTTTCTTTTGTTGCTTTGCTAAGTGACAACTTCTTGATTCGGTGGGTCGTTTCTTTATGTTCTCATGTTACATGTGGATAGGTATGTGTATATTCGGTGGCTGTTTTGTTTGACATTCATGAACATTACATGACAAGAGTTCATCAAACTTGTTGACGCTTTGTCCATATCAAATTTAGATCTCATATCTCAAAAGAATTTTAAGTAACCAAACAATTAAAACTCCCAAAATTCGATCAAGACCATAGTACAAAAACACCAAGTCAATTGCGTTTACTCTTTACACTTTATTTTATAAAGAAAAATTAAAATTGCCAAGAGATACAAAACAAATGCAACAAGAATGTTTTTCAATATTTTTTAAAATCAGAAAACATAAAGCCTCTTCATTTTTTTTCCTTCTCTCTCGACCATGTAAGTACCGTAGTTGAATTCGTATACCGTATATATATACATTTTAGACCGGACCATAATCCGGTTCATCAATAAACCTGTCTCTGTCCATTTGCAATTTCAGGGTTTTTGTCCAAAAGAGTAAGAAGTGCTCTGTTTCTTTTACTCCTTCCTCTTCCAGCTTCTTTTAACAACGCAGCTAGCCTCTGCTTCTCGTCCTCAACCTCGGGATTCGCCGTCCCGAGCTTCTCTTCTCTTGTCCCAACAACATACTCCAATATCTCTATAGCATCATCTAACCTGTGAAGCAAGTAACACATTGCTTGTACCGCAGGAAATTCCAAAAAACATAACCTAGCAAGAAAATGTGTTTTAAATTTTTTAATTTTACCTTCCCATTGCGTCGTATGTTCCGGCGAGGTTACTGTATACTGCTAATGTATCGGGATGGTACGGTCCATACTCTTTCTCGAGGATAGTTTTCGCTTCTTCAAACAAATCTGCAGCTTCGTTGATTGCGTAACGCTGAACGCAAGCTAGTCCCATCTGATTCAAAGCAATCCCGAAAAGAGCGGTTTTTTTCTCTCCGCTGTTGCGGAACTTTGATATCGCGCTCTTGAATATGTTGTAGGACTCGGGGTAATTACCCATCATGTAAGAAATCACACCCATTTGAGCTTCAATACCTGCAATCGTGTTCTGTTGACCTGGAGCGTTTGCATATATCTTCAACGCCCGTCTCAACAACTTAAGAGATTGATCAAGTTCGTTCATCGACTGATATATTGCAGAAATCTCTATAAAACCTGTCGCAACTTCTTCTATAGGAGTTCCCGGAGTCGGTTTTAGGTAAATCTTAAGAGCGTTTTCGCAGTACGATTTGGAATCGCGTATTTTCCCAATTTTGTTGTACAAGTCAGCAAGCCTGACATAAACCGAAGCAACAGAGGAATGAGTCTCACCTTTTGCTTGCTTAAACACAGCCAAAGCCTTCTGGTATGCGAATATCGCTTCATCAAACCGAGCTAGAGACATGTAAGCATCACCAATACTGCAATCTACAGAGGCAACATCTTCCCTGTGGTTCTGAGATGACATTGCCATGCTCGCCAAAACATAATGCTCAAGCGCAACCTCGTAATCTCCCTTAGCATCGCAGATAAGCCCCATCAGTTTTCTATCCGCAGCTTCTTCAATCGAAGCCGTAGTGGCAGCCCCGTTTTCTTTGTGAATGTCCAACGCCATTTGACAAAGCCTTGAGGCTTCTTCAAACTGCATCGCTTGAACATGAGCTTCAGCTAAGTACCTACAAGTCTCTCCAACTCGTGCATCCGATTCTCCAAGAACTTGTCTTTGGATCTCCAAACCCGCGGTGTATAGCAAAATCGAATTTTCCACCTGACCCATCAAACCATACATGTCACCAAGCTGCATACACCCTGCAAATTTCGCCAACGCGTGATCTTCCCCATCTTCAATCATCGGTATCTCAATAGAACGCTCAAGAACAGGCACCGCGTCATTGTATCTCCCTAACCCCGCATATATCGCTGCCAAGATATGCAAAGACATCACCAAATTCAACCCAAATTGTTTCTCTCCTTCCCCGCATTTCTCAAACACTTTCACCGCTCTCAACGCCAAATCAAGAGCCTTATTCAGATTCTCACCAGAAGAAACCAACTCTCTGGCTTGCTTCAACAACAACACCCCAAGCTCAGGACTCTCCTCATCCACAGAAACCTTCCCTAAATCCGGCGATTTCCTCGAAGAGATCCTCGAACCAAGAATCTTCATTTTCGCAACCTTCTTACCATTCGAAAGAGATTCAACAGGTTTCTTCTGACTCAAGCTACCTCCTCCATTACTCTCTTCCTTCTTCTCCAAGATAATCTCTTTCTTCCTCTCTCCTTCTACTCCCACATCTCCAACCAAATGCCTCAACTCCAAATCAATCCTAGATTCAGCTCCATACGAAATAAAACTCGCCCTCGACGGAGACTGATCATCAGAACTCTCCATTTCACAAACGTTATGATACAACTGCTCAATAGAAGCATTCATAGCTCCATCAATTGCAAGATCTATAGAGCTGAGAGGACTCCTCGGTGAAGCTAAAAGGGCAGAATCGTCTTTTCCCCTCTCATTGCTCTCTCCTACGTCCATGGCCGTTCCTCACAATTCAACTATAAATCTGAATCAATGAAGAACTATAATTATCTAAAAGATTCAAATCGGTTAAAACGACAAAAGACTCTAAATTTTCTCTAACTACAATTATCTAAAGCTGACATAGATTCAGTTACTAACAAAGAACAAAACCCAGAATCAAATTCAACGAAATACACAAGAAAAACGAAAACTTTGAAGAAAATAAGAGATAAAAATCGAACCTTTATGTGTCTCTCTCTGACTCTGAAGAAATCTGCAAGAAGGCAAAAAACAGAACAGATTCTGTTTTTGGTAACTTAGTGTGGTTTGTGTAAGAGATAAAAATGAAGGATTTGGTGTCTTGTACTTTTCACTTTTAGGTGATTGTTTGTATATCTTCACTTTCATAATCTCATAGCTAATATATATTCTCTATAATGAGAAAGATGAAGCAACAAACATTTATGAACAAACCCTTTCACTGTCCTTATATGTTTTTGAAACTTTTTTTTGGGTCTACATGGCATAGTTTAATTTAAAGTTTTATCTACCTTTTAAATTGAATTATTGATTGATTATATTAAGATAATGAAGATGATAATTGACTCTTTTTCATTTGATTAATGATTATTATTTCAAGAAAGAGATACATAACCAAAAAAAAAAAAAAAAAAAAAAAAAGAATTGAAGATCATTAGGTTTTGAAGATGATTGACTCTTGAAGCAATAAAAAGAAGATGACTTCTCCCCTACTCGCACTCTCTCTTTAAATAATTTATCTTTTTTTTCCTCAATTTTATAAATAAAGTTATCTCTTTGAAATAATAATAATGAATGTCTCATCCATTTCAAGATTACTTTTTTTCTTATTAAAAGAAATATTGTTTCCTTCAAATGCAATTTTTTGGGATTTCATGAGTTAAGAAAAAAATTAAAGTTTTGAGTTTTGCCCATTAAAATGTAAATTTTTATTATTATTTATCCTAAAATAAATATTGATTCCTTGTATATGCAATTTTTTATGTGATTTAATGAATTAAGTTATATAAAAAAAAAAAAGTGTTGAGTTTTGCAGGTTAATTAGCCAGCTAATTAAATGCTGGGGAAGATCACAAGTCTACGTCAAGCCCTTCAAATTCACAGCTGTATAATAGTACCGTTGAGATTCCGCCACGTGTCATATTTAATCATCCATTATCGCTAATCATCATCCCATTATCTCTAATCTTTCTACGCAATAAAAAATTAAAAAAGTGAACAGTTTAAAATTTAAGCCTTTTGATAAAATGATTCACTGTTATTTAGTAGTATAGTCTTTTAACTCTTTATGGAAAGAAAGATTGGACCACTAGATTTAAAGGATTTAATCACTAATTTAGTAAGAATTTTCTCTTAATGACGAAATGATATGACACGTGGACTACAGCTGCATACCAGTTAGACAGCCTGGTTTTATGGTCCAGATGTGGTCCACCTTCAAGCCCATTACGGCTTTATGGGCCCTTATAGTCATCAGTGTAGGGCCTACCCGTAATGTAATTTTATTGTAATAACAATTATAAAAACAAAACGATTGCAAAAGTACGTTGAAGAGGTTTTATAGAGCCACTATTTCTTCTATCCAAAAAGTAGAGGAAAAAATATTATTTTTTGTCAGCGTAAAAGAAAATATTTCAACATTTCGTTGTGCATAGCTGTATAATGGAAGTTTAATGCACTCTTGCAAATTTTTCACTAGCAAACCAACAAAATAGTCATTTTCAAATGACTATTTCTATGGTTCTATCAGCCCATAATTATTTATGTATTTTTGGTCAAGAGCCCATAACTATATAACATCATTATTTCTTACTCATTTCACCGTTCCAGATCTTTTTTTTTTTTTTTTGTCAACAGCTATATTAGATTGGCTCAAGTAAGCCACTTTTGCGGAAAATTGTTTACATAGGTGATAAGATGCGGGTGGGTACGAACAGTTCGAGCCAGTTTATCCGCTTTCACATTTGCAGTTCGAGAAACTAAAGATAATGAAAAGACGTCAAACTCTTCCTTGTCACTCTGAATCGCCTCTAAGTATGTTGCAAACGCTGGCCACTCTTGCGGGGAAAACACCATTTTCACCAGGTCGGAGCAGTCTGTAAGGAAAACTACTTCTCTCTTGTCTTGACCGATCATACATCTCATCGCCCAAATTAACTACTAAAAAAAAAAAAAAAAATTGAAATAGCTAATTAACTACTAAATTTTATATATCAAAAGTCAACACTATGGTTCATATATAATACTATCATTCAATTAATACTGACATGAATTTAGAGATATGTTGATAAGATTAAATCTCTTACAAAAAGTATGTCAAATACAAGAATCCATCCAAATTTGTATTGATTCTTTTGTCAACATCCAATTCATATTTTTTTTTAACGTCTAGATTTATTATTTATTGCAAATTATGAGAACTGTTACATAGACGATTCTACAACAGACAATTCCTTCCGACCCTTATTAGATCCACGATAGACGACACTTCCTTCATCTCCTTCTTCATGCTCACCTCCTTCTTTCATGCTTTTGATGGACACTTCTCTCTCTGCGTAGAATCCTGGCGAACGGCTATAATTGTACATCGGTGGAGATCTCCTGCACACTTGCCTCCAATAATCTGCAAATTTATTAATAAATCGCAGTATCTGGGACTCGAACCCCAGACCTCTAGGTGTAGAAGCATTAATTAACTCTTGATCAACCAATGGGTCAAGGGGGCTTCCACCATCCAATTCATATTTAAAAAAAAAAAAAAAAAAAAAAAAAAAACTGAATTAAACTTTCCTTTGAATAACATTATATAATTTGGTTGGTCGGTCATATATATGCAAATTATGTATGACTTGGTTTCTTACAACAGACAGAGACAACCCACACGTTTGTTCATTGATTCTAAGACCTAACAACTTCTCTGATTTGTATTGCATAAAGACAATATAACCTCACATATACTTTATTATTTTCTAGTCACAAAGTTCACAACAAATTCATTAATTAATTTATGAACCGAAAACAAATTGTTGTAATCATTGTCGACTGTTGGGCGGTGCTGTTTTGCTTTAAAACTCTTTAGCCGCTCGAATCTCTATCAAATCTTATCTGTTGACAAATTATTTGGTTTTTGTTGTAAAAATACCTTCGATTATTATATATACCAACACGTTTTTGTTTTCTTTATCCGTTATTTGAAAGTTTTAGGTCGGAACTCGGAACTATGTATAAAACTTTGACAAATTTGTCATTTTTTTTTTGTCAAATACAAATTTGTCATAGTCCTCACAAAGTTAATCAAAAGTCTCCACAGAATCAGAGTCATTCATAAAAAGTGTTTAAATGCACAAGTTCGTGCATGTTTTGTTTTATTTCGGTTAAACATAAGGTTATCTATGATTTTTAATGGAAGAGAGTCTATTACTTGCGAAACAAGTAAAATAAACCTTATTTATCCAAATGAAAAAAACAGAAGTTTAAAGTATGACCTGAGCTATGATGAGTTTAGTAGCCATTTAGTTAATGTATTATTGTCCGAAAAAAAAATTTGTTTTGTATTGGGCCTCATATTTATCTGGGCCGGCACTGATTATGATTATGATGCTAACAAGAACTAGTGTTTAATTTCCGTGGATCGAATCACCTGTTTGTAGAAATCCCAGTTTTTAATTACAGAACCAAAACATGTCATCAAAAGCATAAACACTTACTAAGTCTACAAGTATACCTCATTTTGTTTAATCTGACTTTCTTCCAATATGGTAAATACTCGCTCAATACCAAGACGGCTGAGATCGGAGGAGTTTCAGAAGAAGCTCGATTTCCAGAACCCATCTCTCTTTGGCATACTAGGAATCAATAAACCCGTAATCTGAAGATGAATTTCAGGTGCAACTTCTCGTCGAGTGTCTACTGAAGAAACTGGTCTCTGATTCTAAGAGAAAATTAGATGAAGAAGATTGGTGAGGAGATGAGCATTGGGTCTGAAGATTTTGGATGGATTGAGAAAGGATCCATCAATCTCGATCTCAAAAGCTTCTTCTCCTATGTTTAAGGTATGCGACCAAAATCAGGTTCCCGTTTTGTTGGATGTGTGTGATATGGTGCATTCTATTGGTTCTTCGTTTCGGTTTTTACCGGTTCTTTTGTAAACCGGTTTCAAAAAGAAGTACGTGTCATTTGTTTTTTTAATGAGTTCGTTTTTTTTTCTTGTTCTGTAATTCAAAAATTATTTTGTGTATCCTAAAAATTATAGTTTGCTTTTTAAAAAATTAAATTCTATAGCTTTTCAAACCATTTTGTTTGGTCGTAATCTTAAAATAATTAAACTACAGAAAACTCAGAGATTAAAATATTTAGTGTAAAATATAATATTTTAAAATGAGCTTATTTATTGGAAATTAGTAAATATGCATCTGTTAAAATTATTTCAAGTAATAATGCGTAGAAGAAGTAGATAACTAAAAATATAGAGAATTCTTATAAACTTATAGAAAAATATGATTGAACTAAAACTGACTTTGGTTTTTTCGAGAAATATGTATGTGTTAATTCTTGTTTATCTTTCTAGCCTCATGGAACATGTAATAGAGATCATTTTGTGGCTCAAATGTATTTATCCGTTTCACTTTCAGTGATGTTTAGTGATTTTTTTTGTCTTCATTTTAAGTGATGTTTTTAACTTTTAAGGTAAAAATTAAATGTACTTAAGTTTTTTTGACTAATAATATTGTATATTATGTTTTCTTATTAGTTGAATTCATTTGATTTAATGTTGTTTTTCTGTAAAAGAGATAAATTAAATAAATATATATGTTTTCTTAATTTATGTGTAGAACCTTAAACGTTATTTAAAATAACATATAATCTTATTATATTTATTAAAAAATAGTATTTAAATATTAAATTATATTACTTATAGAAATCATCAATTTTTAGATACGACTCCGAACGTAATACGTACAACATTTTTTATAGAGATCATCAACCTTTTCTTTATTGCTCTATACATCATCACC